AAAAATAACTTTTTCAACTTGATTTTTGATAATGTTCCGGAAATACTGCGTCCTTTAAACATATATAAAATTAAAGCTTATTTTATGTACTACAAAATGAAAAAAAAAAATTTGTCCCGACGACCTATCTTCTATACGCAAATGGCTACCATATTCAAAAATATGCTATTTTTGTATGAAAATTATGGGTTTTGTATTTTATTTTAATAGAAGTTGATGTTGCTTTTGCAATTATCCAACAATTTTTTAAAATTAAACACTATCTACAGATTTGCATCGAAGCGTTTCTTATGATAGTGATTTTAATCACTGTCAGATTAAATCTAGACTGAACCCAACTATGCAATGTCTCCACTATGCCGCGACCCCACTGTGCTACCGTTTTTTAACTTAATTTTTGAAAATGTTTTGAAAACACTGTTTTTTTTCAAACATATGTTTAATTAAATCTTATTTTATATACCTACTACATGTTAGAAAATTCTGATAATTTTCCCTTATACAGGAGGGTCAAACTACAAAAATTAAAATAACTTAATTTTTGAACATGTTCCCGTAATACTACAACTTTTAAACATATGCTATATTAAAGTTTCTATTGCATACAAGATTTATATTCCGATAATTTATTTTCTTTACGTATAATGCCACCAAATTATTAGTGTCTATACGAAGTCAAACATTATAGTTAAATAGTGGACAGGTGGTTTAGTACTCCTCATTTTTAAAAAGTAGCACCATGATAAAAATGTTTTTTATAATATTTAAGTTCTGTTAATTATAAATATTTTTAAGATAGATTTAAGTGTCCTTTCAATAAGCTTATTAAAAGAAAGGGGACTTTCCTTAAAAAAAAAATGTATTCAAGCTATCAATGAATTATGACAAATTACAATTAATGTTATAAAACTAAAACTAATAATCATTAAAATAATCAGAATAATAAAATTTTCTTTGCGCAATAGCATTGAAGAGTTCTAAAATAGTGATATTGATCACTGTTAAATTTTAATCTATAATAGCTTCTTATATATTATAGAAAACGTTATTATAGGCCGGATCTCAAATGTAGTAGTGGGATGTTTTTCATCTCGTGAGGATACTACAAAATCAAAACTTACGCTCTCTACCAAGTAATTTAACACACAAATTTATTACTCTTGATTTTAATAGATATATTTTTCGGAAAGGTAAATAATCTGTTAGAAAAAAATGCAGCATTAAAATAAATTTTTGAATATTTTTTTATATAAATAAATTATTAAATAAGGCTGTTAATTTTGTATTTAAAAAAAAATCCTATTTTCTATTTTACAAAAATTTTAATTGAAAAATATTATTATAAGATTCACTTGTATGGTCCAATGTACATTAAACATATAAAATAAACAAAAATAATAATAAATAAACAGACAGTGAGACGAAAAACTTTGGTGATCCCCTGTGGGACCAATTTGAATCTTATGTGAAGGCAAAGGAGTGCGATAAAGGTTGAGTGTAAGCGTGCCTTGATGATTATTATAAGCGAATCGAACCGTTAAGAGGTTTGTTGGACCGAGAAGAATCTGGTACATTGTGGCAAATGAGCTTTTACTGTTCCCCGAGGGCTACAGTACATTTCCCTGCCGCCGCCACCTGAAATCTTTGTGGATAATGAGCCAATTATATCATTGCGCCCGTGAGAAACAGTTGTTATTATAAACAAAATATGCTATAGTGGTAGTCGAAGGGGTTTGCTGGTTTGCACACTATTGGTTTGTTCGTCCGGAAAGTAAACTTTCTAACCGATCCCATTTGTATTTTATTATGTAAATATGAAAGTGGTTGTTATTGTAAAACGACTTCAGCAACAGTCTAACAGCATCATCATTATCATCATCATCATCATGATTATTATGATCTCAACCCCGGATACCCTTATAGAATAAGCTGCTTTTGTTTCTATAACAACGTTTTGAATTAATTTACCCATAATCATTTCAGTATCTTTTTTTCGTAGTGTGTATTTTCAAGGGTATTATTATCGAAACGAATAATAACATGCGTAATATATATAGGTAAGAAGTTTGATAGACATTTATTTAATTTAAGAGTCTGGATTTAAGACCATGACGTTTGTAGTATTTATTCAAAAAGTTCACCAATAATTTTTTGATTTCAAAGGCATTGGATAAGTTTATAAGTGGTTACTAAAGCGTTTTTCACTGTAGCAATAGTAAGGAAAGGAACAAGAAAATATTTCATGAAAACGACGATGAAAAAAATATAAATGGTATAAAGACAGATAATACAAGTTGAAAGTCATTGACAATTTTTGATATTTATGGTGGTCAATGAACGTTGAAGAAACGGTGTAAGAAATGAAATGTTTGTATGAGAACAAGGGGGTGCAAGAAAAAAATACTGCATCCCCAGAGGCCTTTAAAAAGAGCGGCCTGCAAGACTCCCGGGGCTGTTATCCATCAATTAGCCTTTGCGTTTTGCGTTGCCAACTATCTGCCGGTCCCCAATGGGTCCTCGCAGCCCTCTCTAGATGTCCGCCAAGTTTGCGCAATAATAATAGCGCATACTAAGGATGAATGATATAAATAAGAGTACTTAGATGTGTAATTTTACGTTTGCAAAATGTCACCAAAGCTACTTTAAACAATAGTTTCGTATTTTTTTGCATTATATGTTAATGTATACAATGCATTTTAAGTAGTTTTACCTTAAAAAATGGAATACAAGTTCAAAACATTATTGAAGACGATAAGAGAAATTCATTTTGGGTTTTAAATTTAAATATTACTGATATAAGCAAAGACAACTTTTTATTATCATATATACTTTGTTAGTCTATCGTAGAAAATGTATAAATATTTTTAATGGAGAAATAATTAGATTGAATGTTATGGGAGATAAAATGATAATAAACGTTTTTGTACGAGCATTTTATTTATAAAAAAACATTTACTATTAAAATCTTTTTGGAAAAATATTATTAAAAATATAACTTTTAATAACCGCAATTTTCTTGAGAAGAAAATCCAATTTAAGATTTTAATAATTTTATGTAATACATATTGATTAAAATCATTGTTTTATAAAAGGTTTTAAAGACATATTGCAACTAAAAATAACTAGCCAATTTTCAACTTTATTATTATTTGCTTAGGTATTTTATTCAAATAACTATTTCATAAGAATATCTAGGAAACAGTCGTAAAAAACATTAAGTGGGTGTGTGAGCTGTACATTGTTTTAATTGAGTCCATGAAAAATGTGTCGTACCTCGGTATTAAAAGCCATAAATAATCCGTTGCCTTAACCGTCCTTTCCCCATGCTCATACCTAAGTGCATAACCTTTATAATGTATATATAGTTTTTACAAATTTTTTCTACCCCTAAAGGCTTGGACAGCAATAATTCAGTCCTGTATACCGTAGAGCCACAGGTGAGGGTGATAAATCCCCGCAAAGTCCTAATTAACGCTTTAAGTAGTTGGCGTTAGCGATGCGTGAATAACGTGAGCATGTTGTTTACCACTTGGGAGCCCATTGTAAACTTATGTGTATTTTATGCAACAGTATACACGTCCATCCACACCGAAGCGGTAGGAAGTATTAGTTGTTTCAATTTCCGATTTTATCCTACTACTCGGTCATGTACAAAATAAATAGTCTAGATAAAATCAAATAGCGGTGAAATTTCCTAAACTGTTTAAAATCATATCTGATACAAGAGTCGAAATGGAAAAATAAATGATTGTTAAAATGTTTACATAAGTTATTTTTTTTTAAGCATAAATTGCTTTAACAACCTCTTTCAAACCGTTGAAAAATTGCAGATTGAACATTCCACTAGATTAGTAAATGGTATTATTTTATGTCCTTCTCTTCTTAAACTCATTCCATTCAATGTACATCAATTTTATTACCACTTATGACCAACATTTTATATTTACATTAAATGAAACTAACTATAATCAATATAATCCTATAGAAAGATTGTATAAACAACATAATTCAATTTAACTTGATAATTTTTACAATAGTCAACTTTCCATTAATATTCTTTGTAATTAAAATTTGTTTTTAAAAACTATATCTATCTAGTTTCATATTGATCTGTATTTATCATTATATTGTATAGTATCTCAAAATGATATATAACATTAGTTACTGGTCGGTATTGTATGAGTATGAGAATGATTGAGTTACTATGTATTTATTGAATAAAATGATATCATTTTCTTTCGGGGTATGAGTACGAGGGTTTTATGAAAAGATGTAAAATATATAGAAAACAAAGTGATGTGTTAAAAATTTATTAATATAATAATAATTTTAAATAGAAATTCTTGTATTAATCATCACGCTTTAAGTATTAATAATGCCACTGGTACTAGTAGTTATTTAAGCTTGTACTGGCTGTGAGTCGTGTCAATAAATACCCCGAGTAGTTCAGATATCACAAGTGGGTTCTTTATCTTCGCAGAAAAGTCTTTATTTGTATTGACCACAAAGGTAACCCACTCAAAGATAGGACTAGACTGGTTAAATTCGTACCAAAGATATCGATATTATTTATTGAGATAATTATTTTATTCTAGTAATCACCTAATTTTTCTATACTCATTATACACTTAACTTTATACCTTATAAATCTTTTGTGAAATGTAAATTCATCATTGTAATGTTGTAAGCAAAGTTGAAAATAAATATATTTCGATTTATTGTGAATTTATAATGTGTGCCAAACCAGTTCTTGCACTTTTTGAAAGATCATAAAGTGAAAGAGTAGTGAATCGAATTGACAGTTTTTGTGCCATTTTATATTAAATTTAATTCATCTATATGTGCAAGAAGTGTCACAACTTTTTACTATTCTCTATTTATTACTCAAGTGTGTTAGTTATTACATATTATTTTACTTAAAATAAATGATTTGTCATAACTAAAGAATTATTTATAGCTATTACATTAAATTTGTACCAATGCATTTTTATACATATTTCTCGGAATAGTTTTAAAGATTGACATGAATAATATAAATTTAATTTGATGGATAATAGACAATGAGTTATAGACTACTAAATAATGAATGGTGTATGTATTTTAACAATTAAATTATTATTTTTTAATTTTTATAAAATACTGTAACATTACATTTAACTTTAGATAAAAGTGTTGTATTTCAAATTAATGTGTCATATAAACAGAACTTATAAGATAATATATAAAATAAATTATTAAGCGTTGATTAAACGATTAAAATTTAATTTTTCACGTGAAAACATTATGGAAATCATAATGACGGCTTAATATTGTTTAGATCCATGTGGATTAGTTTCTATATTTTTCCTGGCCATTTATCAAAATGGTCTATGAAGTGTTATAAAGAATACCCTATGCCGGAAGCAACCCAAATGACAGATGTTTTATTGATATATTATAGATAGCCTTATAAAAGGGGTATGGTACTGCATTAAATATTTTTTCATAATACTATTTGTTTATTTGCGAAAGTGCAAACATTTCTGTACAATTCCAAATAAAGATAAAACATTAGAGACAAAAAATAATTATTTATATATTATTTTATATATAAACATAAGCATTTTATCATAATCGTGTAACATATTTTTTTCTTGATTTCGTTAAAATACTATATTTATATATGCACTTTCTATAGTAAGGATTTTTATGCATAGTTTATCATCTTTAATATGAAGTATAACAGTTAAATAATTATAATAGTTCTAAACCTAGTGTTATCGTTAATTCATAAGCTTTCAAAAATATTATATTCAATAACAATATAGTTGTGGCTAATGGATAGAAAATATAACTTTTTATGATTACAACTGAAAGGTTAAAGGTTTGAACTTACTATAAAGTAAATACAGCTTAATTTTTTGTTTGTGTAATAATTAATGCGATAAAGACCACCATTACGCCCTTTTAATGTCTATATTCCTCTTGACTAATCCACTAACCGGCTGAATGGGTCAAGTGTATTACAGTCTCTTGACTTTTAATACCATAGAAAATCAGTACCTGCTTTCCAAAAGCAAACAATTTAATCACAAATATTTCCTTGGTAAAATATGTTTTAACCAAAATTTGCAAGTAATGCCATTATAAAACAAATGTGTTACATTTCGATTAAATAAATATTTTTATATTTTTAATAGGAGCTGGTTATTTTTTAACTTATACAATAAGTAAGTAATTTTTATTGTTTTTTGATTAATTTTTGGCAAAAAAAAAATCATTTGTTATTAATTTTAGTGTATAAATAGTGTAAATAATAAAGAAAAGTGAAAATTGTTAAATTATATCCAAGAAATGGCATTGAAAAACTTTTTATTTGAATTAGAACTTAATTCATTAGATGACTCTGTTTCTTTAAATTCTCATTATTAAAGGCTTTCAATATTACTAATTATCTAAAAATCGTAAGTGTTATTTTATTTTAGGTGAGTTTTAATAGTTCTCCTTGTTAATTATAGTATAAAATATATTTTTTGTATTTTTATTCTTTTAGCTTCGACGCGAAGCTAAGAAGTTATTAATTTTACTATGTTGTATTTTTAAAACTTTTTTGTGTCTGTTACCACTTTTTCTCAGCTTTCACCGAACCGATTATTTCAACGATACGTCAAAAGATCACAAATCGTATCTAGTCGAAAACATTACCCTCAAAAATTGAAAAAATTTCCAACGTTCCCCGTAAATGGGGGAAATCTCCAAAATAATTACAAATTTTCGAAATTTTTTTTTACTTAAAACTGCCATAACTTTTTAAAAATTACCACATCAATATATATTTATTTTTTTATAGATTAATGTGGTACTTACCTATTATTTGGTATATCTTTTTAATAAATTTGACCCATTACCTGCTCACAAGGAGGGATTCAAAATGACATATTTTTCATCAAAAATTTATTTTTTCAACTTAACTTTTGAAAGTGTTCTGGAAACACTAACACATTTATATATATCTTAAATTAAAGCTAATGTAATGTACTTTAATATGAAAAAAAAAATGACTTTATTTTGTTTTTACGGTGAAAACGGACATTAAAATTAATAAAAAAATGTTTTTTTTTGTAAAAAAATTACAATACTAAATTATTAAATATCAATTTCATACTATATTTAATTGTTATACTAAATATTTATTCATGTATTACACTAATAAATCATAAAAAAATTCTTGTTTATATTTTTAATTTTATAATGCTATAACTTTTTGAAAAATTTATGGATCAATACAATTTTTTTTATGATAAACACTATTTATATACCTCTTTCATTTGACATACTTTTTTTTTAAATAAAACCATTTCTCTTTAAATATTTATATATATTTATTCATATATTACACATATAAATTATAAAAATTGTAATCAGGATATAAATAAGGAAATAGGAGATCATGTTGCTTTTAGAATAATCCTCCAGTTTTTTTTTAAATTAAACACTATCAGCAGATTTGCATCGAAGCGTTTTTTATGATAGTGATTTTAATCACTGTCAGATATCATCTATACTAGAACCAACTATGCTACATTCTCACTGTGCCATGACCCCACTGTGCTGGATTTTTTTTATGATATTTTATATCATAAATATTTTATAGTTTTAATATTTTATATAAATATTCTTTAATGTATCGGTTGTTATTGGAAAATGATGCTAACTATTGATGTTCGTTCGATAAGTTGTACAATGAACAGATTTTCTGTTTTCACCAGTGTAAACAATCAGTTGTTTATCTAAGAGAATGTCCAATATTAATTGTGTAAAAAAATGAAATTATCAGAAGAGATTTATTTTTTTCTTTCAAATAATACTCTTTATTTATAATTCTATGTTAAATACACTTTTAAGTGGTATATTTTAATTATATTTACTTAAATAACTATTTATAGGTATATTTTTTTATACAATGCGTACATAACAGAACGTATACTCAAGTAATTTTATATTTGAATAATACTTGCTGTTCTCTAATTTAAAAATGTGCCATCATACATCATGTCATTAAAATATTTTATTGAATAAATAATATACACTATACTTGTCATAATAATAAATATTTGAAGTAATTTTTTTAGTTTCTACTTTATTTGTAAAATATTATAAATTATCTGATTTAAAACCGATTATTAGATCAAATACATATAAATTCAAATAACTGATAAGTGAACGTTTCTATTGAATGCTATTTTTGACATAGAGTTAAATTTTCTGTATAAACTACAATATAAAAAATTAATTTGATTCGTGTGGAGTTATAAAAGATTTTAACGACGTCAAATTATTCAAGATTTCATGATGATTATTTGCGTTTAGAATAAATTATGTAATTTTTAGTTCGTATTTTTTAAATTATTATTCTAAGAAGTATTTTGAGATTATTTATCTATTGATTTGCTTATATTCATAGATACTAATTATCTTTTAATCTTAATTTATATGTATTGTTTTGTTTATAGCACAGACTTTATCTCATCTGATATCACAATTGCCCTATGACTACTTTGTTCATCATACACACAAAGATATATACCTATCTTCCATTTTTAACATCATATGTTCGATATCATAATGAAAATCCCCTCAAGACCTTGTGTTATTGTAGAAAAACCGCACATGTCTTTTCACTACCATTTCAACTACCGTCACATAATCATTGTAGGTTCGTCTGTCTGTTTTTCTGCACTTTAATGTTAATGTATAACACTATAGTCTCATAGACGAACCCCTTAAAATCCGATCGGTCGTATGTCAGGAGAACTATGTACTCGACCATTCTGACTTTGTTGTTATTGTCGAACAAGAGACAGAGTCAATCAATCAACGGCAAAAACGGGACGTATAATAATCCGGTAGGCTTTTCGTATAGGTTGTAGTATACCCCCTAGCATTTTTATACTTCGAATAACTACCAAAATTAAAAACGTGGGGATAATTCTGCCCTTCAAGAGGGGATCGGTAAGAAAAATGTCAGGGTCGCATCTCACGGGATATACGTAGCATATATACGAGGGAATCGCAACAGATAAAGAATATACAATTATTTTCCCTCTTTTCTCGATGCGACCAACCAAGCTTAATAATGAATTTCCGACAAGGGATGCATTGTGGTGCTGGTCGTGTCATATTTCAATTTATGATAGTAAGGATGTTAGTTTAAAGCATTTAATAGTTTATTTGAAAAAAAAAATTGAACAATTAAATTTATAAATAAAAAGTTCCCACAAAACGGGTATTAAATTAGTTATATTTTTGAAAAATATTTTATGACAACTTTTGTAAATATANATCTCACGGGATATACGTAGCATATATACGAGGGAATCGCAACAGATAAAGAATATACAATTATTTTCCCTCTTTTCTCGATTTTCTCGAAGGAAACCTAATCAAAAAGATACTAATTAATATTTGAATATTGAGTTGAAATTACCTTGGAGTGGATTATTAAGGATAAGGATAATAGATCTAATTTATTTAGTCGATTATACATTTTCGTTATGATTATTTTTATATTTAAGTTTTATACCAATTAATCAGCCTGTGTTGTTTTTTCAGCTGATGATTTATTTAGATACTTGTATCTTAGTTCTTTTTTGTAATTCTCGCAAAAAAATTATTATTACGATGTAATTTTTTAGCCGTTAGTCAAAGATTCTACCAAGTATTAGATTTAATTAAAACTTTCAAGGACAGGTTACTAGAGTGTGACATACTATGCTTAATACATGTGTATTTATACATATATATATATAAACGTATGTCAGGTTGTCTTTACACATCTGCTCGAAAAAAAGTTCAGGTAAAAATCCAATTTTAAATGAATCACGAGAGTACAATAAAGTGATAGCAGGTGTACGTAATTTTGAAAATTTTAAAACAGTTGTTACCCTCCGTGTTATTTTTTGACACTAGCTAAGAAAATTAGAATATGTCAGAGTTTACATTTATTTTTTGAAGTTATTAGAAGATGTAAAAAAAGATATTAAACACAAAGAAAATGTTTAACCAGTTATTAAAATAGATTTCCAAATGTGAATCATAAAAATACTAATTGTACCAAAAAGAGCACATAAATTTGATCAGTTTGAACATCAAATTTAAATTGACTTATTTCATAATTAAACTTATATAGACATATGAAAAACTAGAACTCGTTATTTGACTAATAATGATTTAATTTCAGTATAACCTCTTAGAATACTCCATAAAATAAAAAAAGGATTTATGCAAATTCAAATAGGACTCATTCATAATATTTTGAATATTTAATGATTAAATATTTACAATAATTACAATATATAATTATTATATATTATATTAACCATGTGTTTCCTCTTTTACCTAACATTATCTTTTTTTTTTAAAGTTATCATGCAAGCATAAATAATTAAATCCTATCACTTACCTTTTTATTCAGTGTATTATAATATCTATGTTATAGTTTCAAGAATGAATAGCTCAGTTGTTTATCAAATTCCAACTCTACCGAGTAATTATAATTTACAAAAATATGAAAAGCTTACAATATAAGACTCAATAATTATAAATGCTGTCTCTGTAGAAACATTGAAAAGTTTTTTCGTACATTTAAGTAGTAATACTTGCGCATTGATAATGTTCTTTTACCTCTAGTATTTTATAAATATTGCTTAATTATAATATTACCTCAATCCAAATTAATTATACTTTATTTTATACTCTAATAAAAATAAATTACACTTCATTCAATTGTCCTAACTATCGATATATCCCTAAACAAGATAGTGAAATTTCAAGAGTACTAACCTCGTCAGGTATCGACTCTAGACTGAGAACACAGTCCTAACGAAGTCTTTGGTCTAGTATCGACTAAGAATACTAAATTATGTTAAGTGACATAACATAATCTGTTATAAATTTGGTTTATTTTTAGTTGGGCTGGGTTAAGCTAATCAGATCGATATGTTATCGTAAGTATTTTATAAGTACCTTGATGTTTTATTTGCAGATTCTCTATAAGAGTACTGTTTATTGAGATCTTTGTTTTACAAGTGCACGTAGAGTGTTGTGTATGCGTGAACATATAATGAAGTGTTGAGTGTACAGCGTTGTTACATATAAACATTTGGTATTTAGTTTTGTGATTTAATAGTAATCTTATATATTATGAAATAATTTATTACAAATAAATGATAAAATTATTTGTGCTCAGACAATTTAAGTTGAAATTGAAAAAAATTATTTTATCACGGAGTTAAATTCACGTCACTCCTATGTTTTTTGAAAACATGCTTAGTGTAAAAAATGTATTTTTTGAATAAGGCCAAATTAAGTGCCTATGCAATTTGCTTAAGTTCTTTACATGCTTACTCTGCAGTTTTTAAACAAATGTCACTAGAACAATATTATTGTATTGTGCCCAAGTTTTACTACCTGCAACAAAACATACTAGCGATACGCAAACGATGGCACTTTTACCGACTTAGACCGGAATGAATGGCTAAAGGTTTGAGGAATTCCATAAAAGGGATTTGAAGGGTAAAAAACGATACATGGTCACTATTTTGCC